CTATACTATACTATACTATACTGTATTATATTATATTATATTATATTATATTATATTATATTATATTATATCATATTATATCATATCATATCATATCATATCATATCATATTATATTATATTATATTATATTATATTATATTATAGTATAGTATAGTATAGTATAGTATAGTATAGTATAGTATATAATATTATATTATATTATATTATATTATACTATATTATGTTATAGTATATTATATTATGTTGTATTGTATTATATTCTATTCTATTATATTATATTATATTATATTACAGTATGGTGTGGGACCACGGTTTTTGCTGATCCGGCCTGCCGCAGAGTATCGAGCGACCTCTCCAACTCTCTTCGGCCCGGCAGCGCGGCGGAGGCTTCCTGTCGGGCCGGGTTCCTCGGAGTTCTTGTGGGTTCAGGGCTTAGGGTTTTTTTTTTTGAGGGCCCTTTTGGGGTTTAGGGTTTAGGGTTTAGGGTTCAATCCCAGGGTCCTTATCAAACCATGGCCACATCCCGCCTCCACGGTCTGCAAGGCTAGGAAGAAGAAGCGCAGAGCGGCTGCATCGATGCCAGCAGCAGCAGCGGCGGCGGCTTGCCCTCGACATGTTCTCAGAGAACGGTGGCAACATGCATCCCATCTCGTGGCATTCCCCTGCAGTCCCCGGCCTTCGAAGAGGATCCGGTCTGCGGCTTCAAGTTCACTGCGCACTTCATCCTGGAACGCAAACTTACCTCCCCAAAGCTCTCATGCTCGCATAGGGAACAGAGCGGTCTGCCCAGCAAGGCTCACGAAGTATGCCTTGTGCGTCCAAGAGGCTGCCGTCTTCCTCCATGGCCTCAACCGCACCGGCCTCGTGTCCTTGACGGTTGCTCTGCAAAACATTGGTGCCGCTCATACTTACTAGTAAGGGATTAGGGTTTGGGGTTTTGGGGTTTAGGGTTTAGGGTTTAGGCTCCTAGTAACTAGTGTTGATCCTTTGCCGCTATCTACTACTACTTGGTATGTACGATTGGCGCAAGATATCTTCCGACACGTCTTCTGGGAACATGCAACATGCAGGGCTTGCCTTCGCCGCGGCTTTGACATGCGACTTGGCTTTTGGCCGCGGTGGGTCCCTGAGCTCTCACAACAGAAGGCTTTCGAGCTGCATGCGGGGCTGTGGACGATCCCAGGTGGAGGAGGCAACAGGGTAACTTCCACATCCATCTTCCTGGACTCCATTCAGACACGTGTGCTCGAGCTTGCTCTTCACCAAACCATCTACTAATCATGCCCTAGCATGCAGATCCCTAAACCCTAAACCCTAAAACCCTAAAACCCCAAAACCCCAAAACCCTAAAGCCCTAAAACCCCAAACCTCTGCATGCTCGTCCAAGAGGCGCTTGAGAACTTCTTTCCCTCGCTGGCCGGACGGAGGTTCCTGGGACTTAGACGTCAAGCACCCGACACTCACCTCTGCTACTATAGGGTTTTTTAAGGGTTGCTTTTCTATAAGGGGTCTATAGGGTGATGCGTTCTACATGGGGTCCTTATTCAAACAGTATCACCATTGTCAGCAAGACTTTTTGAGCTTTGCTCTTCACACTGTTGACGTGGGTCGAACGTGGCGGCGTTCTTCCTCTGTATGATGAGCAGCATGCACGCATAGCCGAGGCTGGGGTGCAACTGCCACGACTCAGGCGAGCAGTTGGCATAAGGCTTACGGGTTTTGGGTTTAGGCTGGTTTACTGCTCGGATGCACCGGGATCCGCTTGCATCCGCTCACATCACTTCGACGGGCCTCCTGCATCGCCGGCCGATTCCTCGCCGAGGACTTGGTTTGCCTGATCGGCCGTCTGTGTGGGTCTCTGATTCGATCTGCTAGAAGAGGCTGACATGCTGGCAACGCGCCTTCGCTTCTGCCTGTGTTCGGCTGTGGCTGTCTTCCAAAGAGGCTTCCATGCTTCATCGGCACGGAAGGTCTCGAGGGATTACATGTAGCAGCAGTGTGGCAACCTACGATATCTCCAGGTTGTATGCCGTGGACTGCCCTCCTTCTTGCTCGGAGCGTCTCGGCTTCTTCAAGTTACGTCTAGCAGCGGATGCTCACCATGTCAATCCTGCCATCCGTCAATAGCACCTTGATGCCAACATTGCATGGGGTGTTGAAACATTCCTGTAGCCACTATCGTTTACAGCTTCAAGCAAGCAGCACGTCCTGCAAGGCAGCCCTGGCATGCAGTCTCCTGGAGTACATGTCGAAGAACAGCTTTGGAATACCATCATCCCGCAGCATGCTCCAACCTGGCATCCCCATCTGGTGCCACTTAAGTGTGGCAAGGAACTTACAGGGCATGTAGCTGGTCTTGCCGACACGTACATATAGTCATCATAAAACTCACTGTACCAACCAGCTTGCACTTGCTGCGCACAAAAACCAAGCATTTCATGACAGTTGCACGGAGGCTTGAATCAGAGTTGCTCGCGATGTTTGTTTGCGGGCGTGGTGCGGCTCAAGGTATCCACACATCAAAATATTAGATAATATAATGTAATGCAACATAATATGATATGATATAATATAACTATAACATAATATAAGGCGCAGGCAATGAGAACATGTGAGCCGAGGATGGGTTCGGGAAATAACGGGCACGAGCTCGTCGCATCTGAGGCAGGCACTGTGTGGCACCATGACCTTGAGAGCAAAACGGTTAAGTGAAGGTTGTGGACGTGATCTTGTTGATGAAGTCTGCGACCGAAACACTCGGCCACCAAATGCCCGTGCATCTTATGCTGCATATGCAAAGTTGGAGACACCAGGCTGGTGTCAAACTCCACTGACGCAGGGGCCCAGTGCGAGGGGAAAGCAGCATGAATGGTCTTATCTTCGAATATCCTGCGACTGCGATTTCGCGTGACGAACTGTCCTGTACTCACGTCTTGTGGCTGAAAAGTACAGCATAGAGATTCCCTGAAGCACAGGCACCGAAACGCATTTTTCTCACTTCCTCGGCCTCGGTCTGTCTCTCTCGATGCGTAGGCTTCCGGCAGTTCCCTGCTCGTCGGAGGTGTCATCCGGGATGGTTCCCATGAAGTCGAAGGATAGGCAGTTGCAGGAAAGGTTGAGGACCTGCAACCGAGAAGGTTTCGCTCCGAAAGGGCCAAAGAAGCCAGATCCGGGCCCTCCCAGGCTGTGTGCCTGCTTGCTAAGCCGGCGCTCGTCGTTCTTGTCCGGGACATTGATGGCACCAGTGCTCAGCTGCTGCAGCCTCGGGCTCTTGCGGACCGAAATCGCAGCATTGGAGCTCAGCCGTCCTGGGAGCCGCGAGCCCCCTGCGTCTGGATGGCAATGGTGAAGATCGGTGGCAGGGCCGTGTCCCGGAAGCTCAAAGCCGTCCTACGATGCCTGGCGTTCCGGGCATTCCGGGCATCAGCCCAGCAGACTGGTCATTAACAGCTCTTTCGCTCCAGAGGAACCACCTCCACCCACAGGAAACGACGATCCCACCACGCCTCCCTTACACTTTCCTTTGGCTTGCCTTCAGCCTGCTTATTTGTCCCGGAGCCTCAAGTGGCGCCACCCAAGTCGTGACTTCGAACCGAGCTTCGATGCAAGTGCTGTCTGTTACGTTTAAACGATGGCGAGTCAACTGCAACTGGAATCCTGAAGGCTGTCTTTGTTGGGGGTGTTCGCATCCTGCATGTCTCTGCCTTCTCCTCTTAAGTCTTACGTGCCAGAACTCGCAGCTCCACGGAACACGAGACTCGCGATGCGACCTGCTCATAGAAGGTCCTATGGTGGGCTGCATATCCTGAGAAGGCTGCATACTATAAGCACTGCTAGGACAAGAGCCAACAAAACGTACCTTGCCGAGGCTCGGGCGGTCGTCAAGTCTGTGTAGATCTCCAGACCTAGTACCCAATGCCTCGCGACAAGAAGATGTCACACATGTTCAACTGATATCATATCACCAATACCTGTGAGGTCCGCAAAAGCACGAGGAAGACGGAAAGACTTTTTGACAACGCGCTCAAAAAGCGGGGTTCATTTCCTAGGCAGTCGTATGGTCGGGAACCTACAACGAACAAAAAGCAGAACCGAGCAGCAAAAGACTCTCCTCCAGCAGGCAAGTTCTTGCACTGGAGGAGCTCAAGTCACCAGTGTCCACACATCCTTGCTACCCTGCACCTATCAGAAAATGAAAGTTGCCACTGACGGATTCGCCAGCGCATGGCCAGATTTGGCCGAAGCAGCTGAATTGCCACCAACTCATGTGGTGGTCTAGGCCGAATTATGGCGGCATGACACTAAGTTCCACGCCACCCCAGCATAACAAAAGAAAACTAGCACTACTGGAAACAGCCTTTCGTCGGAGCTACAAGACCGGCTTTACATGCTGCAGAGGGGGCTTAAGACCGCTACAACAGCGTGGAGGGATCCTGTCCTTGATAGAACTCCTGGAAGTTGAAATCGCAAGGCGGGTTCGGCAGCTCAGCCTGGGCCCAAAAAGAGGCTCCCGGGCTCCTCCCTTTAGGACCCTGGCTTTTAGTAGTGCTCCTTTTTGGGCCTAGGCCCAGGGATTCAAAAAGGGGGCTTCGGAGATCTTGGGGCCTTGTGCTTCCCTACAGCAGCCAGGCAAAGACTGCCGTGCCAAGCCGCACCATACTTCTTCTCAAAGAGGTCCCGGACAATCTTGATCTTGAACTCGTTGGCGGTTGTAGAGTTGCCTAAGGCCAAGCTTGAGCTCCGATCCCATCGAGCCAGGGAAACCTCCAGCCGAGCTCCGCACTGTTGTTCCAAAACTGTTGCATGCTCATGTTGCTGGCCCCGTAAACGTCTCCAAGCCAGATCTGCTCACCTGCCACAGAGGGGCCCAGAAAGTCCCCACTGCAAGACAACTCTTGGAAGTATGATGAGCCGAAAGAGGTGCCGCGAGTCAGCAGCCTCAATGCTGTGGAACCCTACTATGCTGAGACCTGCTGATCCCGCAAATACTATATCTCACATTGCAAAGCCTGATCCCGGAAGTGCTCGCGTCTCATCTCCTCAATCCTGAAGCTCCAAGCTTGTTACACGTCGTACCCCCTAGACTATCGCTGCGCAGGCCGCGAAAACAAACATCTGAAAACGACGGCCATCTTCTACAAACTGTTTCAGTCATAAGCATGCTGACCCCGAAAAGATACCTCAAGCAGATTTCTCCCCAAACACCCAAAGTGGGAACTTCACGTGCCTTCATCCTGGTAGCTCCAGGTGCCTCAATGAGGGCGGCACTTCAGCCAGAATCTTGGGGCCCCTTTTCAGGGTTTCAGACTTTAGGGTTTATAGGGAGTTCAGACTTTAGGGTTTAGGGGAGTTCAGACTTTAGGGCTTAGGGTTTTTTTGCTTAGGGTTTCGGGCCCCCAAACCCGAAACCCCCCAAAAAAAGCCCCAAAAAAAGCCTCGGTCCAAAGCCACCCTCTCATCCACCAAGTTTAGGGCTTAGGGCTTCGGGTTGAGGTAGGGTCCCCAAACCCGAAACCCCCAAACCCCCACCAAGCTGCAGTCTCCAGATCCCGTTGGGCTGCCACACTTGCCGCCCGGCTGGAGCTGTTCGCCTTGATGCTTCTCTGGGCTCTCTTGGGTTTAGTTTGGGGTTTAGGGTTTAGGGTTCAGGGTTCACGGCTTAGGGTTTAGGGTTTAGGGTTCAGGGTTTTGGGTTCAGGGCTTAGGGTTTAGGGTTCAGGGTTCAGGGTTCAGGGTTTAGGGTTTAGGGTTCAGGCTTTATCTAGGCTTTAGTTTAGGGATAGGCTTTAGGGTCAGGGGCTTTGGGGTCTCGGTTCCGGACTTCGCGCTCCGATTGGCCAACTGGGCTTCGGACACCGCGGAGTTTGACTGTAGTATGGCATTTGTGGGCAGGGCCCTGGCAGGCTGTACCTGAAAAGGGATCCCCATCCCAAGCAGGCAGGGAGCAGAAGAGCCTTGTACAAGAGCATCAGATGGCAGTCTTCGCAAGAAGAGTGCAGGCGCACCAAACTCCTCCAGGGTAGTAGGTCTCGTACTTCGGAAAAGGAAAAGAACCTCGCATCGCGCACATGTTTCAGCGGTTTTAGGTGAGGCAAAAGAGTACCTTACAAGACGCAAATCCCGAAGCCTTTAGACATGCCAGGGAGCCAAGGTTGTTACATCCAATGTTGTAGCCATAGTGCCTCAAGGCTTGGGAAGACTGTGAACCCGGGCCAGGGGTGGAGAGATGAAGTGTTGAGAGATTTCCTTGCCGTAATCAAAAAAGAACATCGATGCACAATCTCAGTACTAGACATGTGGTTTCTGTATCTGGCAGACACCGCCCGAGCTTCAAACAATCCTGGATGACGTCAAGACCAGTGACTTTGACAACTGCAAGTGCGGTTCTAAGCAACTTTGATCCCTTGCCACCGAGGGTAGAAGGAAAACTCGGGCTGCCGCCAGGGGCAAACACTTGGGCTGACCATGCCATGACATGCAGCCCTATGGCTTGCGACAGGCGCCAGTCACTGGCTAGGGACATTGTCCTTCCTTCCAAGTTGAGCTGAGCATCTTCCAATCGTAAATACAGGATGGCCCGGTACAGTTTCCGAAGTCGAACGCCACACGCACACCAAAGTTCATGCCAGCATTGATCCTCGGATGCAAGCAGCCCAAAAATGCTGCGGATCCACTCAAGCTGAGGTCGTACCTGCAGCGGGCACTGCTGCTTTTGTTTGGGAAGCCCTTGCAGGCCGAGCATCAAAGGCTGCGTCGCCTTCATGGACACCTCACCGAAAGAGAAAAAGTATGCAAAACGCCCTAAACCCCAAAACCCTACGACCTCGACGACCAGAGACCAAAACCCCCCCCCCCCCTACCGGCCTTGAAGCGGCGGATCCTCTCGATGCCGAACTTGTTGCCAGAGCCGTAGGCGCCAGAGACCACTTCGTTCTGAATGTACCACCTCACCATTAGGGCACCGATGGCTCTCAACGGCGATCTCCGCTAGCGAGCGATCGCCGCTAGAGCTCAGAGCTCAGAAGCCCGTTAAACCCCCAGACCCCTAAACCCCTAGACCCCTAAACCCCTAAACCTCTACACCCCTAAACCTCTAAACCCCTAGACCCCTAGACCCCTAGACCCCTAAACCCCTAGACCCTAAACCCTTCAACTGAGAGCGGCACATGATCCCCGCCAGGTTCCCGGTGTTCACGTTGAGTGGCGGGTAGCTGCTGTGCCCCTGGGCTCGGTACCTCAGAGCCGTCTCGGGGGGGCCCCGACCCTTTTTTGGGGGTCCCCAAAGAGAAGGATTTAGGGTTTGGGGTGTGGGGTGTGGGGTTTGGGGTTTAGGGTTTAGGGTTTAGGGTTTAGGGGCTAGAAAAACCAAGCCACATATGAAAGGTAAGGAGGTCGGCACCGCTGGGACTGTGTAGCGACTGCTCAGCAAAGGGAATCTCCAAAGGATCGCCTGCCAGTTCAAGTCAGCCCCTCTGGCGGGTTCACAGATGTTCACAGTACTTTGAAATTGCTCAATTCTGGACCCCTGCTTTCCATGCCTCCTTGGTGAAGCTTCCATGCTACCTTCTCGAAATTTGCCTAGCACACTTAGCGAACCCAGCAAGCGGCTGTGCCTGGTGCCGGAGTCGGAGATGGCGTTGGTGGGGATGGTGAGGGCGAAGGTGGTGGCGTGGGTGGTGGCGGCGGTGCGGGTGGCGCCGTTGTGGTTGGAGGTGGAGGTGCTGGTGATGGCCCTGAACCGCCTACGGGTGTGCAGGCCCAAGGGGTCTGATACCTCGGTGGATCGTTCCAGTGGATGCCGGGAATGCAGAAGGGCAAGCACTGCCCATAGTCTGAATCCTTCATGAAGCAAGTCATGGCTGGGTTACAGCACGTCGGCTTCCTCAAGCAGTTGTCCGAGTAGCTGGCCGAGCACTGCTGTGGAGGGGGTGGGGGAGGAGTTGGAGGAGTCGGAGGAGGAGTCGGAGGGGGAGGAGGGGGAGGTGCTGGAGAACCTCCCAGAACTCGGCACGACCATGGGGTGCGGTACTGGGGAGGTTCTGCCCAGTGTATGCCTGGCTGGCAAGAGGGAAGGCAGGCTCCATAGCCGTTGCCCTTCTCGTAGCACGTGAAGGATTCATCACAGCAGGTGGGATTGCTCACACAGTTCTGAACGAAGGAGCCTGTACACGTCGCTGGCGGCGGAGTCGGGGGCGGGGGAGGAGGGGTCGGAGGAGGGGTCGGAGGGGGCGGGGGCGGTGGTGCCGGGGAACCGCCGGGTGAAAGAAGTCTGCAGGTCCATGGAGTTCGCCACTGCACGGGCTCCGATGCATGGATGCCAGGGTTGCAATACGGCAGACAGGCTCCGTAGCCACTGTTCTTCTCGTAGCATTGGAAGCCCGATTCGCAACAGACCGGCTTCCACTTGCAATTCACCGACCAAGAGGCCGAGCATTGCCCTCCTCCTGGACTCGGACTTGGCGGCGGAGGGGGAGGACTCGGATTTCCAGGATACACTGCCCTGCAGGACCATGGAAACCTGTACTGTGGAGGGTCTTGCCAGTGAATCCCGGCGCGGCAACGGGGAAGACAAGCACCATAGTCCGAATCCCTCTCAAAGCAGGTGAAGGATCCATCGCAACAATTCGGATTGTTTAGGCAGTTGCCTCTGTAGCTTGTGGAGCATCGGCCTTCGCTTTCGCTTTGGCCTGAGACCGCAGTGCTACTCCGGCCAGAACCGACGATGTCGCAGGACCACGGAGTCTGCCACTGTGCGGGATCGTCTAGGTGGATTCCTGCGCCAAAATTCAGACTCAGAAAAGAGACGTGTGGCAGCGATGACATGCTTTCGGCCCCCCACCTGGAGTGCACTGCGTCTTGCAAACTGCCACTTTCGCATCTTTTGCGAAGCATTTAGCTGCTGGGTCACAGCAATTCGTGTTGCCCATGCAGTTGTAGAGGTTCGATTCCGTGCAGTGGCCTGCAGCCGGGGTCAAGCTGGACACATGAAGCTCCATGGACATTCCGGGGCACAACTGCTCGAAAGCTGCTATACTGCTTCCCGCACCTGGACTTCACGACTTTCTACAGGGGGCCTCGACGTGTTCCACGCATTGAAGGCGTGGATGGTGCCAGGGACGCATTCTTGCCGAGGTGGATGGCAAGTGCATCAAAGTAGGCCTTTCAGCCGTGCAGAGATAGTAGGTAATTGGCATCTGTGCAAAAGCTAAACTCCCAAGCAAAGGTTCCATTGCTCTTGCGGGCCTCCTCTGAATTCTCTGCCACTGTCGGTGAACAAAACAGGAGCAGCAAAGGTGTCAAAGCCGCCACCCTGCGAAGCATGAAGACTCGAGCTTCATTCAATTGCAGAGTATAGGTGGAACAGAGTTGGTTTCAGGATGTCGCTACGACGTGCGACGACAAATTGGGCGTCTCGTCTTTGATGGCAATAATTTGATCCTCTGTGTCTCTTACCGCGATCTTGCAACGAACGTGCCAAAGGGCATTCACCCTGGCATCAATGTAACCGTCACCGATGCACCTTAGAGCCTCAGAGGGATACAGTAGCCTTCTGACTGGCATCATGCAAGGACTGGGCTGTACTACCCAATCTGAGGTGGGACGAAGAAGTCTTCATAAGTTTTCCATGTATCAAGCATACTGCTGTCACTTCCAACTGTCCAACGGCTGCAAACAGGCATGCGGCATGATGATTGTAATCCTGGTCGAAGCCAAAGAGCCAGACAGCGCATCAAGACCATCGGTATTACCGGCCTGCAGCCCCGAAGCTCTCGCATGACCGAGAGCATTGACCGACAGCAACATGCAGACTTAAAGCTGGGAGCCAGAAGCGGCGTCCGGTGCAAAGTCACGAGTCACAAGAGAGAAGCAAGGCCGTCATCCGAGGCGAAAACTTCCTGGTCTTGGGAGCTGGCAGAGGAGAGGACTGCAAAAACTGGTCGACCTTCGCCGTGACCATCTGATGCTGCGGCCTCCAAGGTTCCGAAGACTGCGCCAGAGCGAAGAGATGCGAAGAGCCCAAATGCAGTCGGGGCCAGAAACACTGGGGGCATAATAATAATAATGATAATAATAATAATAGCAATAGTAGTAGTAATAAGTAATAACAATAACAATAACAGTAATAATAACAAAAATAACAATAATAATAATGAGTAATCTTATTACTGTGCTTTCACAGCGACCAAAGCTCAGCAGCAGACCCTTCGAGCCAAGCTAGTTTGATGACCTTGGCACGGGAGAAGCGTGGACCAAGCATTGCGGCCGCTGGAAGACTGCTTTCGAAGATCGGTCCATTGCAGCCAAGGCTCTCTGCAAAGCAGCCTGGCGGCACAAAAAACGCTGAAACCCGGCCAAAGACTAGGGAGAGGTTGGGTCCTCGCCTCACCACAGGCGACACGCCCATGGGCGCGCTCCGATAAAGGTCGGGGCCTGAGGAGCGGAGCACTGCAGAGATGGGAGGGGCCGCCTTGAAGAGCTCGGAGAGGCGCAGAAAAGGTGAAAAAACGACTCCGATGGTGTGAGTTGCAGTGTTAGATCTGGCCTCCATGATTCTGAGGCCGCAGCCGTTTTTTGCTAAGTAGTCAAGGAGAAAGCTCCTTTCATGGGAAATGCAGTCGAATCCGCCCCCGCTGCCGTGTGATTCTGCAAATCGCTCATCTGCTGATAGTTTTGACTGATGCAACCGGCATCAGCGGTTACAATTTTCCATCGCCAACTACCACGTCTACCTCCACGAGTATCCATTTCCTTGCGCGATTCTCTCCTCATCTCTTCCTTCTGGTGGTCGGACACGGACGTCCAGTGCGACGTGATGAGCTGGCGAGGGATTGTGCGTTGATGTGGTGCTGCAAGCTCGGTATCAGCCACACCTTCATCAAGCCTGTTGCCGCGAAGATCAAAGCATGCGGACCTTACGGTGAGTTTGTAGATTCGTCTACAGCTTGTGAATCTCGCCGCTTTTCGCTGCTTGATTTTGCTGAGTCCCCCACTGCTGGTATGCGCCAAGACAAACTGCAGCTGCGGCATGCACCTTGAGTACTTAAGTCACCCACACGCATCCGCTGCGCAAGCAAGGGTCGCTTGAGGCTGCAGCTGTGGATTCTGCACCAACGGTAGGAGCGTCTGGTGCGCCTGTGCTCTTTCAGCCTGCCGGCACCGCGAACAGGAGGGAAAACAGCGGGAGAATGGCTGGCAAGCCAAAGATACCGAAATGGTCATAAAGTCTGGACAGGCAGTTTGATTAAGACGTTAAGACTTCGTTAAGAACACATCACTGCCTCAGAGCGTGCGTTGTAGAGAGCATTGCACATGCTCTCCAACTGAGCCTGAGGAAGCAGAACAACTCCACAAAACATCACCCTTGGCGGAAGGCCTGATGACTGCTTCAAACACATAAACATATATATATACATATATATACATGTGTGTCTATGTGTGTGTATTATATATATATATGTAACTTTACATACAGACACATGCGTACATAAGTACAATCATGTACAGAGAGATACATATATATACATATATACATATATACATATATACATATATACATATATACATATATATATATACATAATCACTTCCCCTTTTTATTAAACACTCCCCTAATAATCAAACACACTGGACCCAATCCTCCCGTAGGATGAGCCTCCCTGAAGACAGCTGTCGGTCTTTTCCGGCTGCGACGGCCTGTCTGCAGCTCGGTCAGTGAGCGTGGCTGTCCGAAGCCTGCCTCACACTTTCTGCAGGCCCGACTGCCTGTCTGTCTGAAAAGACTAAGTCATAAGTCAGGTTAA